GACATTTTTCCACTGAAAAAATTGACTCAACACCAGAAAGATAACGTTTGTTCCACGTCACAAAATACGTAGGCGATCTGAGTTATAGATCTGAGTGAGGGGCTAAATACAATTAGAAAGTTCCAGGACAACACATTTTATTATTATTAACTGATTATCCAAATAGTTGGCCATTACTTTTCTGTTGATTGACCAATTGTTGCTGAACTGAACTGAACTGAACTGAACTGTCGTCATGTCACTTTTGTATAAGATATACAGAATTATACCAAACATTATACAAAAGAACCTAATGAGTTTTCCAAGTAATTCAGTAACTTAGACAGCACATCTGAAGAACTGGACTGTCACTCTGTATCCAATTTTATAAAATAATTCCAAAATGAACTACAACATGACTCACCAGGTGCTCCGGCGGTGGCCTTTTCCTGGGGGACAGAGGGGCCAGCAGTGGTGGGCTTGGCACAGAGTTCTGGCTTCTGGGGGCTGGAGGTGGGGTTGAGGGCCCTGGAGAGGGCCTGATTCTTCACGGGACTTTGAGGCACGGATGTTGAGGAGGAAGGGCCGGCTTTCTGGGGACTGGATGGGAAGGCTGTTCTCTGGGCGGAGCTCTTCTGGGGACTGGTTACTGACTGAAGTGCTGGCCTGGCTGCCGGAGTGTCAGCCTTCTGGGGGCTTGGGAAAACCACTCTGCTAGACTTCACCGGAGAATAAGAAGCCTGCTAAAAAGACAGGTGTAAAAGTCTATTTATTTAGAAAGCATAATCGAAAACAACGACAACAACCTGGTGGTCTATGGGTCTGATTGGGCCTTTAAAACAAAAAGGCCTGGTGTTAAAAAAATGCAAGTGGCTGCAGTACTATCATATATTGCAAAACACTAAGGTCCACATTTGAGAAGTTGGAACAAACAAAAACTTTGCAATTTTTCTTGAAGATAAGGAAAACAGTTAATTGATTATCAAAGCAGTTGCAAATTAATTTCCAGTGTGTTTATCACTGCAGCTTTACATGCAATAACTCTGCATAGATCATCATTCAGCATGAAGAATGATTTACTTCTCAAAGACATGAGCAAACTATGCAAATGTAAATTCTATATTTAATAATACAAATAAAAGTACAATAAATAAAAAATAAACTGAGAATTGACTAATGTTTTCAGAATTGATATCTATCATAAGCAATGGGTGTTCTTGTGTGCAAAGTAATGAAGTAGTCACAGAAGGTTTTTCCATCTTGCCAAATTTTACAGAAGCAGACATCTCATATAATACCAGTCCAACAGAAAAGACCTACCTGATTAGAGCTTAGATTAGAGGTTTTGCTGCTTGCAGTAGAAGTGGCCACCACGTGGCCTGCAGCACTTTGTTTAGTGCTGGCAGCCACCATGGCATCTCTGGCTGCGAACTTGAGAGCAGCTGCACTAGGCTTCTCTTTTGCATCCCCAGTGGGAATGTTGGCATGGCTCAGGTCGTCCTCCCAGGTTCCGATGGTGGCAGCGAGGTTGGCCAGCCTGCCTCTCCTCCCCAGTGGAGTTCCTGAGGACACGGTGGGGACGGTGACTAGTGGGACCTCAGCTTGTCTCTTCAACAGGGACAGGGGAGTGCAGTCGGGAACTGCGTCAGAGGTGTCTGAAAAGGTAGTATTGTGTTTGAATTGGGCAGGGAGAGACTATATGACGATCACACATTTAAAAAGCAAACATCAGACCACTGACAATTAGCATTCACAAACTTTGAATCTATGTGAGCGGCCCACATTGAAGTCAGGAGCGCTTTCTGCTGCAACAACATACAGTACAAAATGTGGACCAGTCTTCTAAATAAATGCACTTATACATAGGGCTATGTGGTATGCTATATGGTACATATATATATAT